TCTCTCTCTCTCTCTCTCTCTCTCTCTCTCTCTCTCTCTCTCTCTCTCTCTCTCTCTCTCAGAGAGAGAGACCGGCCAACAGGTAAGTCTCCAACCCCGCGACTGTGGAGGTGGGCGGAAGGGAGGCGCGTGGAGAGGGGTTGGGCAGGGGACGTATGCGGAGGTGGAGGGGGGGAAGAGGGAGGAGGGAGGGAGGAGTGGGAGGAGAACGGGATGAGCAAGAAGAAGAAGAAGAAGAAGAAGAAGAAGAAGAAGAAGAAGACGAAGAAGAAGAAGAAGAACTTCAAGAAAAAGAGGGGGAGGCGGACGAGAAAGCCGAAGAGGAGGGGGGAGGAGGAGAGCCCAGTCGAGGGGAAGGAGGAGAAGGAAGAAAAGGAGGCGGACGAGAAAGCCGAAGAGGAGAGGAGGATAAAGGCGAGGAGGAGGAGGAGGGGAAATGCAAGTGGAAGGGAGGGAGGTGGAGACCATGGAGGGAGGAGGTGGCTAAAAAACTCTTTCTTTCTTTTTTTTTGCATTCCTGTCACGTTTTCTTCTTCGTTTTGCATCTCACTTTTTTTTTCCCTTTTTTGAAGTGTTTTTTTAAATTCTTGCGTTGTTTCCTTCTTCGTTTTGTGTTTGGTTATCCTTTTCTTTTTGAGTCTGTTACAGTTAGTAGATCATCAATCATCAATCAATCAATGAATCAATCTCGGCCAAGGTCGATCTTTATTGATTGATTGATTGATTGATTGATTGATTGATTGATTGATTGATTGATTGATTGATGGAGAAGGAAACTAGACCCAGAGGAGGAGGAGGAGAAGTATCGGGGACGGTCTGGAGTGGATTGGGGAGGGTGGGGCGAGGTTAAAGGAGGTTCGGGACAGGGGACAAGAGTGGTCGGGGAAGAGGCAGAGGGCAATGAACTACCATTTCGTCAAAATGGACATTGTTTCTGAGTGGGGATCCGGGCCGCCCGGGTGACCGGCAGGGGCCCGGGGGAGGTCCCGGGTGGCCTGGCCGGGCAGGGCATCCGGTTGGGGGCCGGGCCCCCCCAGCGCACTCACCTGTCGGGGGATTTTGGACCCCCTTTCGGACCCCCTTTGTGTGTGTGTGTGTGTGTGTGTGTGTGTGTGTGTGTGTGAGAGAGAGAGAGAGAGAGAGAGAGAGAGAGAGATGTGTTCAAATCATACTTGCGGCGCATCTCATGCGCAGGGGTGCCGCACGCGCATGCACGCCCGCACAAGTGATGTGGCGCATTAAAAAAGTAGAAAAATAAAAACGTCCTAGTTGTGTCCAGCCTCTTTTCGGAAGGATCCCTGCAGCATATTAGCAATGACCCGACGTCATGCAGAGATACACTTCAAACTTGTACTCCGTGAGGGTGGGCAGATAATATGTAGTCTGGATTCGAATTCAGGTCTGTCCATCTCGGTTATGGGTCACTATTTCTCTGTTTTCTTGCTTTTCTTTTCTCGTTTTTCTTGTCTTAGGAATACGTGCAGTGGCCCTAAGGGCCTCTACTCACCAAATGCACAAAAGACAAAACATATGTTATTCCACGTTCTGCAGAAGATTCATTCTAATTTTGCACATTTTGTGAGTAGTTCAGCCAAGCCCTAAGAGTCACGTGCAGAGACCAACAGGGCCTAGCTACGCGAGCAGCCCATAACTGCTGAAACACAGACCCGAATTTGACTCTTGAGTATATATTCGGCCAGCTCGTGCTCTACTTCATATTCACTGCCTGCCTCGATTTTGGTGGGGGGGTCTGCGCTACATGGCTGCGAGGACCCTTCAGATAGCCTGCATGGGCCGTCTGAGCCGTGTTAAGGGGATCCGTTCTCTCTCTCTCTCTCTCTCTCTCTCTCTCTCTCTCTCTC